TGACCCATACAATGTATTGTTGGCTATTGCTACAAATATCCCCCAGTGACTTAACACTGCTTTTGTGCTCCAGGCTCACAAATTACTCTATTATTAATATTAATTTATAAATGTCAGTGTTATTGTTGTATTATTTCTATGATTAACATTTATTTTTATACTTTGTTTTTATTTTAATTTTAGTTTAATTTCTTTCTTTGAAGTCTTTGTGTGCTTCGGTCATTTTTAGTACTTTTTGCTTTTTAATAACACTAAGTTTAGGTTGAATTTTGTTTTGTTTTTTTACGTTTTAGTTTTTATTTCCAGTTTTTAGTGCATCAACCTGACCTTGTTTCAGTTAGATATATTTAAATTACTACTTTAGGTTACAGTTTTTAAGATTGTTAAAAAAATTAAGAAAATTATTATAATTTATCATTTCAATTATTTCAATAAGTTAATAACACTCGCATGTTCTCTGATGTCGGTTAATGGTCAAATATATATTAATTTTAATTTAGATTTTTATCATTTTTAGTGTTTCATTCTTTATTTTAAATATGAAACTTTTAAAATTTATTTTAAATTTTTAAATGAAAATGTTAAGCTTTTCGTTTACTCTCAAACCCCCTGCAGTGTTATGTTAGTGTGATTGAGTTGCTATTGTAGTTTTTATTAGTATTTTGATTCAGTTTTTCATCTTAATTGTAAAATATTAGTAATTTTGTTGTGTTTTTGTCATGTTTAGTCGTTTTTGTTCATGTTATTTATTTAACATGTCTACATAGTTTTGTTTTTATTTATTTTCTCCCCAGTTTTTGATACTCTCTGACTTACACTCACTGTAATCATTGAGCACTAATGCTGTTTGTGTGTGTGTCGTGCAGCCGGGCGCTTTGGACTTCAATAATCAGCTTCTTGCCCCCGGAGGTAAAGGCTCGTGGGGCAGTTGGGGCAAAGGCAGCAGCGGAGGCTCAGGAGCCAAACCCAGCGACAGCGGTGAGTGTTTGTACACGTCTGATGTATTATGCACACATATTCAGACGTGGTGTGACTCTAATGTGTTTTACAGCCCAGGACTCTGGTCGTACCAGCACTTTGAATCGATTTTCAGCACTTCAGCAGCCTTCCTCCTCTTCTTCATCTTCATCCGCCAACATCGACTCTGACAGGAGGGCTCCTCACAGGTCAGAGGTCACACACAGGGATTCTGGCTGGACAGGGTTTATTATGCTTATCGAAAACCATTAAATAAAGCAGTAATATAACAGTTAAGGGGCGTTGTTAGGCACGACGGCTTCACGGGGCTTGGTGCTTTTGTAAAATGGTTATTATATATACGTAGTAAGGTTTCACAGAAAATAAAACGGAGCAAATAAAGTGTAATGATATTAATAAAAACAGTATTCTTCCACCAAACAATGTAGCTCCTCAGAAACAGTTGTGGTTGCTACAAAGTAGTTGCAGAGCAGCACACACACAGAAGTAAACAAAGCTGTGTGTTACTTTGTAGCGTCATTTACAACAGCTTCGAACCCGGCTCAGCCAATCAGAATCAAGCACCGGAACGCTCTGCTTTATAATAAAACTTTATAATTCTTGAAATGAAATTAACTGAAATAACATCAAATATGTAAAATATATTTTAAATGTATATATCAATCAGAGTTATTATAGTTAACTAAATACATTTTAAAAAAAAACATTTTCTTTTAGTTACAAAATAAAATAAAATACTGAAATAAAACGTTTCTCATTTTCACTTCGTCGAGCTTGATGTACTAAATCTAAAACGGAAAAATAAAAATTAGACGTATAAAAATAATAACAGTAGACATTTAGAAAAGCAAAACTAATTAAAAATTAATTTAAAATGTTTTGTTAGAATGCCCAGCTGTTAATGATACAAGGAAACATTTTTACTAAAAGTACATTAATTGACATTACAAAAAAACTGGAAGAATATTAGAATTTCTGATCAGTTATTAATTTGAAAAATTTTATTTTTATTTATTACTTTATTTTGAATTGTTTGTAAAGGTGTTTTTTAACTTTATAATTCTTGAAATGAAATTAACTGAAATAACATCAAATATGTAAAATATATTTTAAATGTATATATCAATCAGAGTTATTATAGTTAACTAAATACATTTAAAAAAAAAACATTTTCTTTTAGTTACAAAATAAAATAAATGTTAACTGAAATAAAACGTTTCTCATTTTCACTTCGTCGAGCTTGATGTACTAAATCTAAAACGGAAAAATAAAAATTAGACGTATAAAAATAATAACAGTAGACATTTAGAAAAGCAAAACTAATTAAAAATTAATTTAAAATGTTTTGTTAGAATGCCCAGCTGTTAATGATACAAGGAAACATTTTTACTAAAAGTACATTAATTGACATTACAAAAAAACTGGAAGAATATTAGAATTTCTGATCAGTTATTAATTTGAAAAATTTTATTTTTATTTATTACTTTATTTTGAATTGTTTGTAAAGGTGTTTTTTAAGTATTTGAACATTTAATTTATTTTTTATCTATTTTTTTATCTTATGATGCTGATATGGCCTAAAAGGAAAAGTAAATAAATAAAAAATACATCAAATTATTGAAAATTTAAAGTTAAAATCAGAATAGAAAATATAAAAACACATTTAAAATATTAATAAACACTGTCACATGACATGCAAGTAGACATTTTATTTATACCTTATATTTTAGTGTCTTGTTTTTTTTTGTGTGTGTTCTTATTTTTAAATATTTAAATAATTGTTTTACTTTACAAATGAAGTATTGTTATTAAGACTATTTTAAAACGTATTATTCTTGAGTTTGCCTTGAATATAGGCTTTGATGCTGATAAAATGATGAATGTTTAAATAAATAAAAATACATTAAGTATTGCAATTTTAAAGTCAAATTTGAAAATGTAAAATAAAAACAAAAACTGTAATATTAATAAAATAGCGCTGTTGCAGGATTCTTCTGTGCTTCGACTGAAGCTTTGTGTTTGTCTGTCAGGAGTAGCTCCAGTCGGGAACGCAGCGATCGCTTCGAGCGGATGGACCGGAACCGTCCCGCGGTCGGCAAGCGCAGCTTCAGCCGGGAAAAGGAGAGGAGTCGAGATCGAGAGCAGCGTCCCGCTGAGATGCTGCGGCGCGTTTCCAGCATGACCGACGAGAGAGAACGAGAGCGCAGCAACGGTACGCTGAACCGGGTCAGAGGTTGCGGGTAGTGCTGGGCGGTATACCGGTTTATACCGAATGATTTATGATATTCATTTTTAAAATACCGGTGTATGTCGCTTAAACAACGTTGGGAACGCGTCACTGTTTGAAAGGGGTCTCTTTTCACTGTTGCACTGTGGTGAGGGAACAGCTGTATGTGTTACTAAGCGTGAAAGTTCAGAAACTGAAGCTGTAGAACTAATAGAACGTGATGACACAGAAGAACTCATCCACAATATCCACACTGACCTCCACAAATATCCAGCGCCCACTGCCATCAGCTCCCGCGTCTCACACACGCCAGCGCCACTTTAGCACTAGATTTAGCAACTTTCAGACCCTTTTAGCTGCTTTCTTCCAGAGAATATTCATACTGACAAACCTAGAGTCTTCTCTGGATAAAGCTTAGCTATGGTTCAGTTGGAAGATTTCTCCAGAGCTGTCCCGCGAGCGCGAGGTCTGACTTCCCCGGAGAAGTGTCGTCTCTCTCGGCGTGTGTTCTGTGCAGCGAGCGACAGAGAAGCAGCGCAGCAGACTCCTCAATAAATGAGTAAAATAGAGCATTCTAAGCCAATATACCGCGGTATTTCCTCTCAATCAGTAGAAAATATGGTTAATACCCGCTCATGCATGAAAAAAAAATACCGTCATGTACCGGGAAACCGGTATAATTTAGAAAAATACCGTGATATACATTTTTGGTCATACCGCCCAGTACTAGTCACGCGTTTAGTGACCAAAAGCATTGTGCAGTACAGGGTCATTATAGTTAAGAAAACTATATTTGGATTTTATTTTTTGTGTTGGTCTCTAGTTCAGGTCATTATTATTTAAAAGTAGCTCTTTTTAGAAGGACTGGGTTAAAAATTTATTTTTTTAAGTAGTCGTGATATTTATTTGAGCAGTCTAATATCAATCCTTTTTCAGATATTTATTTCAAATCAAAATCCAAATAGATTTCAGAAAATCAAGGACATCAGCGCCAATAATCAGACAATTGTTATTATTGTTATTGCAATATTAATATTATTATTTATTAATATTGCAGTAATAATAATACTGCAATATTAGTTCTGATAGGTTCTAAATATTATATATATATATATATATATATTATTATATTAATAGATTGTTTATTATATTAATTCATATTAAATATTATTGTATTAAGTTAACATTTTTATGAGTTAATTAATTATTAGGTTTTTATCAACTCCTGCATTTCACTCACAAACCCCAGTTTTGCCAAAACCCTGTGCTAAATTTGTGTTATTGTTAATATTTATTAATATTAATACTGCTGTAATTTTTATTACTTTTATTATATTTAAATATTTTAAAACTTTTTTTAATGATATAATTAATTATTAACTTTTCATCAACTACTGCAGCTCCCTCACAAATCCAAGTTTGGGAAACTCTAGCCCTTAATTTTATTTTATTGCAAAATTAGCATTATTATTTATTAATATTACCATTAATATTGCAACATTAGTTATTATTACAGTATTTGTATAACAAGTGTCTGTCATTGCAATATAATTGACTTCAGAATTACTTATTCCTGTTTTTATGTAACGTAAAAAAAAATGGTGTGTTGTTTAAGCAGTGAAGAGAGAAACTGTTCCCACTCCTCCACCTGCTTCATCCAAACCGGAGCTGACGGAGGACGAGCTGGAGAAGAAGTCCACTGCCATCATCGAGGAGTATCTGCACATCAATGACATGAAGGTACACACACTCGCACACGCACACACGCACGCACGCACGCACACACACACACACACACAGACTCACACGCACGCACACACTCACTCACTCACTCACGCATACTCACTTACAGGCATGCACACACATGCACAGACTCACACACATGCACAGACTCACACACATGCACAGACTCACACACATGCACAGACTCACACACATGCACAGACTCACACACATGCACAGACTCACACACATGCACAGACTCACACACATGCACAGACTCACACACATGCACAGACTCACACACATGCACAGACTCACACACATGCACAGACTCACACACATGCACAGACTCACACACATGCACACGCACGCACACACACACACAGACTCACACACACATACACACACACACAAACTCACACAGACTCACACTCACACACACACAAACTCACACACACACACACACACACACACACACACACACACACACACACACACACACACACACACACACACACACACACACAC